CCAGCGCGGCCAGCTCTAGGAAGAGTCTTGGTGGTTCCAAACTTCTTTCATTTAAAAATGATGGAGGCCACTGTGTTCTTGGGGACCTTCAATGCTGCAGGTACCCTTCCCCAGATCTGTGCCTCGACACAATCCTGTCTCTGAGCTCTATGGACAATTCCTTCGACCTCATAGCTTGGTTTTTGCTCTGACATGCACTGTCAACTGTGGGACCTTATTAAGACAGGTGTGTGCATTTCCAAATCATGTCCAATCAATTGAATTTACCACAGGTGGACTCCAATCAAGTTGTAGAAATATCTCAAGGATGATCAATGGAAACAGGATGCACCTGAGCTCAATTTAGAGTCTCATAGCAAAGGGTCTGAATACTTACACCTTGTCACAACACAACTGATTGGCTCAAATGCATTAAGAAGGAAATAAATTCCACAAATTAACTTTTAAGAAGGCACACCTGTTAATTGAAATGCATTCCAGGTGACTACCTCATGAAGCTGGTTGAGAGAATGCCAAGAGTGTGCAAAGCTGTCATCAAGGCAAAGGGTGGCTATTTGAAGAATCTCATATAAAATATATTTTAATTTTTTTAACACTTTTTTGTTTACTACATGATTCCATATGTGTTATTTCATAGTTTTGATTTCTTCACTATTATTCTACAATGTAGAAAATAGTAAAAATAAAGAAAAACCCTTGAATGAGTAGGTGTTCTAAAAGTCAAGGGGTCTGAATTCTTTCCGAATGCACTGTACATCCATACCGAGAAACCATCAATCCAGACATGGCTTTATACAGCAATGTGTGTATCTGTGAATATATTACAATGCCAGAAAAATCTGATATGTATGGCTAAATCACCTGTGACATCATGGTACAGGTGAGGAGAACAATGTGTGCTCTGTGTGCTCCAAATGTGTGCATTGCTTTTCTGGATGACTTGATGTGAAACTTACAATGAGGATAGCCTATATGGTTTCCTATTCACAGTTCCCTGACAGAGGAGCTCTGATAAGATGATTCACTGAAGCCCTCTGCACTTTCACAGACAAGCTCATCCATTATTAATGTAATTGATTTACTAGGCTCAGTGAGGCATGTTCAATGGCTGTAAGATTCCACTGTAAGACATTAATTGTGACCCTCAAATACTAGTTTCCATGCACTATCAATTATGTTCAGACTACTACCTCTCTATCTGAGATCAATACCCTGATAAAGCTAGGCCTATTACTCCCTCTTAAGAAATAACCTACATTACACGGCTAGATGGGCCTTATTGATTATGAAATATAGCCTATTCCTATCTGTCCTCGGCACAATTTAATCTGTTTAATCATAATGACCAAACTATTTGAATAAGCGTATCCATATAATCAGTGATTCAAAGTGAATCATAATTTTTCATAATTCAGAAATACTTTAAATTAAAACATGTATGTTTATTATGTCTGAGGCAAGGGGCCTTACCTGCCCAAAAACCGAGCTGAGAATTGGGCGCAAATTGATGTCGGATTCAAAGGATGCACCACTGGACCTTCCGGAGTGGTGAGAGGATTGACTGGACACGGGGATAGGCGATGAGGAAGCTGGGGAAGGGATGCTGGCATTCCCGCTAGCGGACGAACTGGCCCTAGTATGGTCCCTCGATTCAAAGAATAGCGCGGTGTCATCTTTGCAATCAGAGTGGAGCTGTATTCTGGGGTCTAAGTGGGTAGGGTGAGTGTGGCTGTGGTGGTTTGCAGGTGCAGGTGGTGGGTCGTCCCGGGTCGTTTTCCGGTGGTGTCGGTAATGCTTTGATAACTTGCAGCGTTCTCTCACACCTCGGCCCACACCATGTTGCTCAGATGGGTCATCCTGGGAGTTGGCAGCGGGTATGTGGCCGTGCGGGGCGTGAGACTGGTTCTTACTAGCTCGGGTCGTTGCCGTATTCCGGGTACCGAGTAGCGAGGGGTGGCACAGGGGTCTCCGAGCACTAACGTCGCACTCTGCCGAACAGAATGACTCCTCTGCGGCATTGCTGCTCACTTGAATTGCAGCTGGACGGTGATGATGATGACTTCGGTTGGTTCCTGTCGTGCGTTCAGGGAAGTGTGTCGATCTTCCGCTTGCCGAGGAAGATTTCAGCAAGGACGTCTGAGATTCGGATTTGGGAAAAGAGGAGCTCATGATTGCTTCTTGCTCCTAGTCTCGTTTCAACCCGTAGTCCCACTCATTGCGGTTTGGTTGTGTATTTTCTCACATTGTCGGCGGTCGTAAGGTAACAACAAAACCATAGCTGCCTTCAAAAGCTGTACTTAAAAGTTGCATTTTACCACCTGATTGCTATGTGGCCCCGCCGCTGATGCAGGGCGCGCGCAGACGCGTAACGAAAATCATAGCACGATGTTCACGTCTCGTCACCTGTCACTAATATGAACGTTCCTGGCACCTTGAAATGTACGGTGTGTTTCGTTGTGGGAGGACCAAACACCGTGCCCATAAATGATTGTGGTGTAAAGTACTTAAGTAAAAATACTTGAAAGTACTACTTAAGTAGTTTTTTGGGGGTATCTGTACTTTACTATTTATATTTTTGACTACTTTTACTTTTACTTCACTACATTCCTAAAGAAAAGTAGGTACTTTTTACTCCATACATTTTCCCTGACACCAAAAAGTAGTCGTTACATTTTGAATGCTTAGCAGGTCAGGAAAATGGTCTAATTCACACATTTACCAAGAGAACATCCCTGGTCATCTCTACTGCCTCTGATCTGGCGGACTCACTAAATACATGCTTAGTTTGTAAATTATGTTTCAGCGTTGGAGCGTGCCCCTGGCTATCCCTAAATTTAAAAAAACTAGAAAATGGTGGCGTCTGCTGTGCTTAATATAAGGAATGTGACATTATTTATACTTTTGATACTTAAGTATATTTTAGCAATTACATTTGCTTTTGATACTTAAGGATATTTGAAACCAAATACTTTTAGACTTTTACTCAAGTAGGATTTTACTGGGTGACATTCACTTTTACTTGAGTCATTTTCTATTAAGGTATCTTTACTTTTACTCAAGTATGACAATTGGATACTTTTCCCACCACTGGTGGTAGACTATGCTGTCTTCAAATGGAATGGGTCATAGTTCAGCAGTAAATGTCAATGCCCATCTCTCAGTTGCAAGCTACTGTACATCTCTATTGATTTAACAAGAGGGCAAAGCTCCAAAATGAATGTAGATAATAATTGTCTACTTTCATGAATACTGATGTTGCTATGCAAATATTGATTTGTTTATCTTATCAAAAGTGTGCTCAAATTCATTCAAATTATCCTTCCTCTAGGCTAGCTTTATCAACTCAGTTGTGTTTATTTATACTCAGTAGGCTATTTTATGCAAGCATCATTGTTAAGCAAATGGCCTCTCCCAAAGGTCTAACCTTTATGGCACAGGAGGTAGCACATTTCCCCTAACAGCAGGTTAGCCCCCCCCCCCCCCCCCCCCCCCGCCACACACAAACACACACACACACACACACACACACACACACAGAGAGATACACACACACAGTATATTGGATAATTTATAATTGAATAGTCCCGCCTCTCCTCCACTGATTCACTTGACTACTCACTGAACTCTCACTCTAGACATCTGAGCTGCAGGGTAATATATGGCCCATTTTCACAAACTAACAAACTGCACCTTTATGCAGATTGGCCAAATTACAGAACAGCCTAAGAAACTACTCAAACTACTTTGTCATATGTAGAAGAGTAGCAGCCCCAGAACAGGTGGCAATTCCAGTAACCATTATTTATTTTATTTTATTATTGGACTTCACAGCTATACAGTACATTATAATTCCTCCTCTGCTGCTCAGGTTGAGTAGGTGTGTTGGTGTACTGGCCTTGCTTTGCTTCAGTTGAATCTCCATATTTATCTCCTCTCCATCTGCTCATACTGAAATATGGCACACGTACGCCTCTTGGTGCCACTAATATAAACTGCAGAACAACCTTATACCCAAGGGAATTGACATACAGACACACTGAATACACAAGCTGTTACAACAGTGTTACCATGCACAAATGAGATTCTGAATTCAAGACAGAAGTTGGCTGATTCAGATAATTTGCCATTTATTAAATACTGTTCAAAATGAGTACAAATGCCACAAATATGAATCTATTGGGGTAGAATATCACCATAAATTTGATATGCAGCTGAGAAATCACAGAATGATATAAAATGTCACTGAACAATAGCCAAACCACTTGACAAACATTTCAGATATCTAAAACTGAATGTATCAAAATGACAAATGCTTGGGAGAGAAGATGACGTTACAGTACCAGGAAGTTAAGACCACACAATAACTTAACTATTGATTGTAAGACAATTATATTTCAAAACCTCTGATATGTTTTGTACTCCAACTCTATTTACAGAAATACAAAGTTGATATCAAATACAACCATATTACAACCATTAATTAATTAGATAATTTACCAAATACAACCATTTCTCCTGTGTAGCAACAACACAAGCAGACTCAAGCAAATCATTGGATCTCTAAAAAACATTTTGTATGTGCTTATCCAACCATGTTTTTGTGAAAGCTGTATTGATTTCTATAGGAGAGCACAGTAAACTATCACACATGGGCAGGGATAATCACGGAGATAAGGATTGGGGCTGTAAACATTCACATTTTACATTATGGCTGTTTGGTCAAAGTCAGTAGGTGCTAAGGGAGAGTTACAGGGAGAAAGCAGATTTGAACAAGACAGAGAATATGTACACAGTGAGTGTGGGAACGGGACAAGAGACAAAGAAGTGCTCTCTCCCACCCCACTCACACTGTTCTTCTCTACTTTTTTCAACAACTCCCTTAAATTCTGAAACACATTCTCTCCGTCGCTCTTTACCTCTCTGTTTTTCTCTCTGTAGCTCTGTTTCTCTTCATCCCCTCCGCTGCCCCCCCCCCCCCCCCCCCCCCCCCCCCACACACACACACACACACTCTTTGTCTTCTCAGCGCCCGGGGGTGAAGATGTAGTCCAGAGCCTGTCTCTCAGCAGCTGCCACATTAGGGTGCCAGAGGTCCACCATGAAGACCACCCTGGGGCCGTCCCCTGGGCCGCCTGAACATAGAAAAAACACAGATTAATGTCTTCCTCCAATCAACCCTTTATATCAGCTTAATAACACTTTCTCAGAATAGTACAAACACACAGACACACAACTTGAAAAAGGCAACCCCTTTCACCACCTTCACACACACAGCTGTCCCCCTCTCACCCTCATGGAAGGCCCTGTGGAGGAAGGAGTCATCAAACAGCAGACAGCTCCCCTCAGACCAGCACTGTGGCTCCCCTCCAACCACCAGCTCACAGGAAGAGGGCACTCTAAGACCTACAGAAGACAGGCAGCAAGTCAGTCTATATACTGTAATTACTAAGGAAACCAGGGAAAATATTACATGACACAAACACATACTGTATGAATATATTCTAAAATGTCAGCTGTATATGTTGCCATGCAAAGCAAACTTTAAATCCATCCTACAATAGTAAACATCATTATTATCATTGTAATAATTTCACAGAGCCACAGGTGAACACACACAGGGAGCCAGGTGCATCTTTGAAATCCCTATATTTAACAGTGTTGTAGCCCTCCAGGAAGCTCCCTCCCCCTCTTACCCAGGTGGCAGCGCAGCCTGACGTTGGTTGGGCCGTAATGCTCAGTGATCAGGGCTCCGGGTGTTAGCACAGAGAAGCAGGCGTTTCCAAACACGTTGTTGGCGATAAAGGTGCGCAGCTGGCCCAGCACCCTCCAGGCCCGAGGGCACCTCCTGGCATTGAGGGCCAGCGGAGTGCCCTGGTTCAACAAGTAGAAGGTCCACCACTGGCCATGGGGGGTGCTGTTGGCCTTCCAGCCCAGAGGCAGGGAGGAGCCAGCCCGCGCTGGGGGGGCGTGGTAGATGCTCTCAAACTCAGCCAGCAGAGCAGGGAAGCTCCTCTCCAGCAGCTCCACGTCGTGTTTCTGTGCATCCCGGGAGAAGAAGGGTGCTGAAGGCAGGTCAGGGAGGAAGAACACCTCTGGCCTCTGGATGGTGGGCCGGCTGGTGAGGTAGCGGCCCTGGTCTCGTACCCCTTTGTGCACCCTGCCCATGCCTGACCAGGTGTAGCGTTTGGCGTAATCCTGCAGGCTGTGGTACAGCTTCTGATTGAGACCCTCCCCTGTTTTGGTGCAGCGATAGGACTCAGTGGACTGGCAGTAAGCAAAGCCGTTCTGCTCCTCCACCCCTGACACCGGCCTGCCTTTAGCCCTGCCATCTCCCTCTGTGCTCATCAAGGCCCCCCCAGCTCCTCCCACCCGACTGGGCTCAGTGCTGTACCCCCCACGCAGGGGAGAGGAGCTGTGCTCACGACCTACCCTGTAACAGTACCACACAAAGAGCAGCAGCAGACACATGGCTGTGCCAAAGGCACTGGACTCACAGTCCCTCATAGACTGCATCCCTCCAGCCACCATCTCCCTCACCCTCTCTAGTGACCACTCCATTCTGGCTCTTCGCTAAAACGACTGAGTCTGGTCTGAAGAAACTACCGTTGAGAAGGTCAATGACCAACCCTGTCTGACACTGCTTGAAAATGGCTATTAGAGGAAAATGTTCCACAGGGTTTCTCAAAGGCTACTTTCAGGAAGCTCTTATCATTCCCCCTTCTGGATGCAGTCTGACACTATCTGATATGACACACTCAGGCTCCAGTCCTGAAATTTCAGCACTCAGGGATGAGGGGAGGGTTCCCCCTGCATGGCGCCTGGCTGTGTGATATTTGTGCTGCTCCCTCCCTTGTTCATTTTAGACAAATACAGACAGACAACACACCTCAGGGTATCTGGTCTCTGCATCAGAGATTGAGAGGGAGGGGAAAGACAGGGAAAAGGTAATTAGACATAGGCACTGCACAAACAGATACACAAAAAATGTTAGGCAGCATCTAATAAAGAAGCAGAGTACCAACATGCAGAGCTCATTGCAAGCTCAGTTTTCCACATTACCTCCTCCATTTAGTTCCATATTAAACAAAAAATGTTAGGCAGCATCTAATAAAGAAGCAGAGTACCAACATGCAGAGCTCATTGCAAGCTCAGTTTTCCACATTACCTCCCCCACTTAGTTCCGTATTAAACCAGCTAACTCCCACCCTCTGCACCACCCTTTACACAAACTCCCACCCCCACACTCAGCTCTGGACACACACAGTGCACCATGCGCACACACTCACATACTCACACACAGATGGCATTTAAAATTCAGTTCTTCACACACCTCCGCACTGCACTGTACAAAGCCATGAGTCACATTGCTGCATTTAAACACCAACATCTATCTTTCTTTCTGTCTTTCTGTCTAACACATGCACACACACACACTAACGCGCGCACACACACATACACACAGAGAGAGAGAGAGACCGTAAATCTCAGTAAGACAAAAATAATGGTGTTCCAAAAAAGGTCCAGTTGCCAGGACCACAAATACAAATTCCATCTAGACACCGTTGCCCTAGAGCACACAAAACAACCATACATACCTCGGCCTAAACATCAGCACCACAGGTAACTTCCACAAAGCTGTGAACGATCTGAGAGACAAGGCAAGAAGGGCCTTCTATGCCATCAAAAGGAACATAAAATTCGACATACTAATTAGGATCTGGCTAAAAATACTTGAATCAGTTATAGAACCCATTGCCCTTCATGGGTGTGAGGTCAGGGGTCTGCTCACCAGCCAATAATTCACAAAATGGGGCAAACACCAAATTGAGACACTGCATGCTGAATTCTGCAAAAATATCCACTGTGTACAACGTAAAACACCAAATAATGCATGCAGAGCAGAATTAGGCAAATACCCGCTAATGATCAAAATCCAGAAAAGAGCTGTTCAATTCTACAACCACCTAAAAGGAAGCGATTCCCAAACCTTCCATAACAAAGCCATCACCTACAGAGAGATTAACCTGGAGAAGAGTCCCCTAAGCAAGCTGGTCCTGTGGCTCTGTTCACAAACACAAACAGACCCCACAGAGCCTCAGGACAGCAACACAATTAGACCCAACCAAATCATGAGAAACAAAAAGATAATTACTTGACATTGGAAAGAATTAACAAAAAAACTGAGCAAACTAGAATGCTATTTGGCCCTAAACAGATAGTACACAGTGACAGAATACCTGACCACTGTGACTGACCCAAACTTAAGGAAAGCTTTGACTATGTACAGACTCAGTGAGCATAGCCTTGCTATTGAGAAAGGCAGCCATAGGCAGACTTGGCTCTCAAGAGAAGACAGGCTATGTGCACACTGCCCACAAAATGAAGTGGAAACTGAGCTGCACTTCCTAACCTCCTGCCAAATGTATTACCATATTAGAGACACATATTTCCCTCATATTACACAGACCCACAAAGAATTCGAAAACAAACCCAATTTTGATAAACTCCCATATCTATTGGTTGAAATACCACAGTGTGCCATCACAGCAGCAAGATGTGTGACCTGTTGCCACAAGAAAAGGGCAACCAGTGAAGAACAAACACCATTGTAAATACAACCCATATTTATGTTTATTTATTTTCCCTTTTGTCTTTAACTATTTGCACATAATATGACATTTGAAATGTCTTTATTCTTTTGGAACTTTTGTGAGTGTAATGTTTACTGTTAATTTTTTTAATTGTTTATTTCACTTTTGTTTATTATCTATTTCACTTGCTTTGGAAATGTAAACATATGTTTCCCATGCCAATAAAGCCCCTTAAATTGAAATTGAATTTGAAAGAGCAAGAGAGAGAGGGAGAGAGACAAGATCACGCATTTGGATAAGATTATGCATGAAACATGAATAGACAGTATTGACATCGGCCTACATGAATCAATGGTCAGAGTGTGGCTCTAAGGCTAGGTATACAAAACGAGATTCCATAGGGTTTTCTAGAATAGCCCTACACTGTACTGGCAAACATTAGGAAAGTGAAACAGGATCATCAATGTAAACAACCATTATGTGCATGAACAGAACGAAGGATAAGCAGCATAGATACATGAACATAGTAACTGCAGTATTAAGCACTCACACACAGACGAAAAGATACACTGTAACAAGCAAACTATGCAGTAAACATAAACACGCATAAGCAGAGCTCACACTGTACAGACCTCCCTATGCTTCTCCTGCACAACCATCTCACCAAAAATGGTCCGGCAAACCTGCTTGGACAGACAGAACAGCCATCTCCTCTCATGAACACAGCCCAGATGACAGTCTACCGAGACGCACGCCTCCACAGAACCTCTCTAGCACAACTACACAGTTCGCTCGCTCGCTGTCTGCTGTCTTGCCTCCAGGAACTGTCGTAATTGAACAAACCCTGAATGGGGACAACCATCCATAACACTCGTCTCTCTCTCTCTCTCTCTCTCTCTCTCGCTCTCAATTCTCTCTCCCACTCTCAATTTCTCTAATATTCCTGCCTCTAATGCCATCATGCTTGCATACATAAAGCTGTAGTTAGTCGGCCATCGTATCATGATTCACTCGCATAAATCCACGACAGATGCTCAGGGATTCACACTGTGTATTAACGATCTGCCAATAACAGCTACACTTGTAGCGCATAAAAACAACTCCGGACAAATGCAACATAATGATATTCGAAATAATAATAATGATAATAATAATAACTCACCCAATTTTCATGGTTTTGTAAGATATCTAGACCAGCCTACATGTTTGCCATGTTACCAAGCAGCTAGTGAACTCTTTATCTAGGTAGGCTATAAGTGTATTATTACATGTCAATCATAACTAGGCCCTAATCAATTTAGCGATTTATAGTAAACTAACAGTAGCAAAGATGATCTATTATATTGACAAGATAGTCGAGTGACTGCTCTAACAATGGAAATACATGTCCCCAAATATGGAAGGCAGGCAGGAGGAGGCGAGATCAGGTGGGACCATTCTAACCAATGAGACGGCAGATAATCGTGTGACCAACAGGCACAACTCAGAGGGTCCTCATTAGTTACCACAGCCACAATCAAATCAAATCAAATTTTATTTGCCACATACACTTGTTTAGCAGATGTTATTGCGGGTGTAGCGAAATGCTTGTGCTTCTAGCTCCGACAGTGCAGTAATTATGGCTAAGTCATAATTATGGCTAAACCCCGCCAATTTCTACTATTAGTCTTCTTAAAATCTGATTTTAAACCTAACCATAACTTTAACCCTAAATTTAACAACACTGCTAACCTTATGCCTTACCTTAATCTTAAACTCGCATCGCCCAGAGTTCCCCCGCCCACTTCACTTCCCTCAATTGGAAATGAATGGGGCTCCGTTGTTTCATCTTCCCCAATGTGTTATGTGGATAGCCACTCTTGCTTCACCCTCATGTGGGTGCTAGCAAACAGGCTAGGTAGTGCTAGGTATCAACAGCCAATCCAGTAGGGGCTGGAAGCTATAGTGAACTTCGATTGGTCAATAGAGTCGCGATATCGCAGAGTATTTGCATAAAGTTCAGCTTTCCCCAATTTTGGTCCTCACTTCCTTACATTGAAAATGAATGGTGGTCTGTTGTTTCATCGCCTCCAACATGTTATGTTCAAATGCACTTCAAGCAATTTTTCTCAAAGTTGCCGGAATGCCACGTGCATCCACTTATATCAGTACATTTGTAACAGCCTAAATATTACGAAACTTCTATTCCATTAAATAAGCCTCACGTAATTCAACATTTTCTCATCAGTGGCATAGCACTGTTTTGAGGGCCCCCCCCACAAGGTCCAAGCAAGGCCTTAATTGTTTAATTCTAACATTAGATTATTCAAATATGTAATACAAATCTCCAACCTCTTTTTGTTTTGTTTTATGGTACTATTAAATGCTCCAGGGCTAATTTCGTATAGCATTTTGGCATGTTTTTCCAGATTTTATTTTGTTACTTTTTGTTGTGGGGGGTTACAGGTACATTATTATTTCAAATTATACGTTTATAAAACATATAACTGTAGGTTGCCAACCCCCCCCCCCCCCAAAAAAAATGTTTTTTTACAAACTACATACAAAGTTTAAGTGATAATAAATTCAGTATGAACAGGAAAATAAAACAAAAAAGAGGTGGCACTCCACCCCCAACCTCCCATCCCATTCCCCCAACCCCACCCAGCAAACATGTCTCCAATTTTTTTGTAGTATTACTTTAGTCCCTTGTTGAAAAAAGGATGCATGTTTTGGAATATTTTTATTCTGCACAGGCTTTCTTCTTTTACTCTGACAATTAGGTTAGTATTGTGGAGTAACTACAATGTTGTTGATCCATCCTCAGTTGTCTCCAATCACATCCATTAAACTCTGTAACTGTTTTAAAGTCACCATTGGCCTCATGGTGAAATCCCTGAGCGGTTTCCTTCCTCTCCGGCAACTGAGTTAGGAAGGACGCCTGTATCGTTGTAGTGACTGGGTGTATTGATACACCATCCAAAGTGTAATTAATAACTTCACTCAAAGGGATATTCAATGTATTTTTCTTTTTTTTAACCTGTCTACCAGTAGGGGCCCTTCATTGCGAGGTATTGGAAAACCTCCCTGGTCTTTGTGGTTGAATATGTGTTTGAAATTCACTGCTCAACTGAGGGATCTTACAGATAATTGTATTTGTGAGGTAGAGAGATGAGGTAGTCATTCAAAAATAATGTAAACACTATTATTGCACACAGAGTGAGTCC